AGCTGCTACGCAGCGCAAATTATATAAAAGAAAGTAGATTAGAGTAAAAGAGTCTATAGTAGTAGAGAATAGCTAGCGCAGAATAGCTTTATAGAAGTTTAGAGCGCGTAATAATAAAAGAAGAGTAAAGAGGCTAGCACGTGTTAAAGAGAGTAAACTATTCTAAAGACGCTGTAGACGCTGTAATAATACTAAGCATAACGCGCAAATATATAATTATAAAGTAGAGATAGCCTCTTAATTCTATTTTAGTATCTTTTATACTATATTATACTAAAGTAGGTTATAATAAGCTATAATAGAGAGAGTTTTAGTAGAGTCTTAGCATAGGTAGACCGCAAAGTATGCTAGACTATAAAGCATGCACCTACGTTAGAAGCTCTTTTAATTACTTATTATATTCTTCTAATATCTTCTATATCTAAGTTAAATATTCTTATAAAAAGCTACGTAGCTAGCTAAGTATATACGTGCTATCTTTTTTAAAGTATATATTCTTCTTAGAAATATCTAATCTATAAGTCGAGTATACTCTCTTCTCTTTCTTATTAAACTACTTTATAATATAAGACTTATAGAATAGATAGCCTATATAGTTAACTTAGGTCTAATATAGAAGTTACGATTACTTACTATAAGATAGATATACACGTTTATTACTTAATAAGTCTTCTAAGATATAGATAGAATATATAGTACTATAACACTCTATAGCGCTAGAAATCTATAGGTATTCTTGTCTTCTATATACTAAAAGGTTTATTAAGAATATAGGTAGTTTTCTTCTATAGTTAGTAGAAGCGCGGACTAGATTAATAGTAGTATAGCTAAGAGCGCTCTTAACATAGAGTAGTCTATCTAGAATTAACTAAATAATATATCTACTATAGTATAGCTTATAGAGTTAGTATATATACGTTTTCGCTTCTATAGACACTTACGCAGCCGTAGAAAGAAAGAAAGTACACTCTACTATCGGATTTAAGTATCTCGTTGCATCTAGAACAAGAGAAAGATAATCTATGCTTAGTAGCTAATTCTGTAGTTACAATTAGTAACAATAGCTTTGTAGTAGAATATAGAGTTTATACCTAGTCGTTTTCTTTTAGGCCTTCGAGTGGCTAAATCCGTAATAGGTATTACTCTCGACTTAGAATTCGAAAAGAAGATATATTCGATGTTATCTATATTAATAGGCATCGTTCTAAGGATATAGAAAGGCGCAGTAAGACGTAGAGGAAACGTAGATGCTAGCGGGAAGAGTAGGACAGTTCAAATCGACAATATTAAAGCTTCGGGAACTCTCGTCCTCGTTCTATAGGCATTTAGAGAAAAAGATATCGCTATCAGGGTCTGTTATAAATCAGGGCGGCTATTGTAATATTAAGTACAGCCAGGCTGTCGTAGCTATATACTCGCTCCCCATGCTTAACAGTGCTAGGGGAAGCTTTCCCTTGGCTGCGGGCCTTCATATCGCCTCCGCTAATTAACTCTTACTCGTCTGACGCGGATGCAGAGCACGGCACCATTGTCCCGAGCTGCGCCTCGTCGCTGTTGCACACCAGGTTTCTGCCAACGCCTACAGTCTCTAGAGAGTGGCAACATGCATATCGTCGCAGATGGAGTCTCGCGCGATCATGCCTGCGACGCGCCTCCAGACGCTGCTGAACTCCAGTCCAGCCCGTCGCAGCTGGTGCACTTCCCAGATCAGCGCGACGATGTGAGAGGGTTGGTGAAAGCCTCACCTACCTCCCCCGGCTCTTGTTGATTGTCCGTCTGCCAGTCTCAACAAGATCGAAGTCGATATTCAGCAATCTCAATGATTTCGTCTCGGGTTCCGAAGAGGCTTCCCCAGCGGCCTTTTTGTTGAGCTTGGGGAAGATGAACCATAAGGATAGCAGAACGGCGAGGACGGCCAGAATGATAGGTTGGAGTACACTGACACCTCTTGCCTGTGCTAGTGAACCAATGGCAAAGGGAAGTACAGCTCCTCCTCCGCCTCCGAACGCAGCTGCGAATCCAATCGCGGAGACGTACAGGTACGGAGGGAGCACTTTAGTTACGGCTACGATGGTGGCAGGGAACAGAGGCCCGAGGAAGAAGCCTTGGAGAGAAACGAAGATGGCTGAGACGTGGAAAGAAGGTACCAGCCAAAACATGAGCTGGCATACCATGGCGAAGGTGATGTAGAGCTGGCAAGAGTAAGTGGGCAGCTTTGTCTGGGTGGTCGTCATTTCACAACTTACTAGGACTGCGAGCTTCTCTCCCAGCCTCGGAGTCACAAATCCAAGCACGAGACGGCCGAGTGTGATGCCTGTCCAGAAACCGGTAGCAACCATACCGGACGCGAAGTCGCCTCCTGCTCGCTCTCGGCGCATGAATGTGACGACCCATCCTCCAAGCGCCACCTCAACGCCAATGTACAAGAAGAAGAACACCGAAGCAACCCAAGTAGCTCGGCTTCTGAGCGATTCCTTCAGGCGGCTATCAGAACCTGCTTTAGTTCGTGGGTTCGATTCTCTGTACTTTTGGCCTGTCATGGGGAAAAAGGCCGCGAATGAGGTTGCTAATTCGATTACGGCGCCGCCAATCTGTGCCTCTGTCAACATACTTGTATATAAGAGCTTGAAAGCCACCTTACCATGAGGTAGTAAAACTGGTACCACGTCCAGCCACTTTTCGTAATTAAGCTAGTGGCTGCAAGTGGACTCAGCACTGCACCAAGTCCAAAGAACCCGTGCAGAAACCCCAGGACTTCGTTCGAGTTCGCCATGTTGCCCAGCCACGCGTTCCACGCCGCATCTTCAAGGCCGTTACCAAACCCTGCAAGAATGAACACTACGACTAGAACCGGATACGGCGGGTGAAGCGCGATTCCAATATATGCGCAGAGATGGCAGAAGGGAGCTAAAAAAGCAGCTCCACGCTGGCCGAAGCGGACATGGATCCAGTTGTTGAGAAGCGCAGCGCCGACGTAGCCGCACATAGGAGAGAGGAAAACGAGGGATACGACCACATATGTTAGATTGTAGTATTCCTCCAGGTATGGCAGGATAGCCTGTGATGAACATCAGCATGATTCGACATCGCGAGCAAGTGGCGATCCTACACCGTACGCGCCGTCGTTTGCACCAGCGATCATAAAACCGAACATTGTCGCGCCAGTGCGGCAGATGTTGGATCTTGGGTGATTCCATCGTTCCGCCACGGAGACTGTTGTTGAAGGCTGTGGGAGAAATTCAGCAGGGTCCGCATTCTTTGAGAATTTGTCGCTTGACAAACGACTAGGCTCATGGATAGCTGCTGTTCGTATAGGTTGCAGTTCAATGTTTGCCTGAGAGGTATTGCCGGATGGAGGTAGTGTGCTTGAAGGGGTCGTCGTGACTGTGTTAGTCGGCAACATAATGGTGGCCTGCTTGCTTAGAGTATGGCGAACGTGATTCGTAGGCGGGAGGGTATACAGAACGTAGGAAAGAAATATTAAGTCGCATTTCTTCGGCTTTCTATAAACTCATGCAGCGGGTTATCTTCGGCAGTCGGGTGTGGATCCAAGCTAGCTTGATTGATCGGAAGTACGCTGGCGAAAAGCCCTACTTTAGGTCTAACGTAAGCGGAATACCAAAATCTTTGCACCTATCCGAGAGAACGGGTTAGAGCTAAGGTATAACTAGTAGGCCTAAACTATTAGACCGCTAGCTAACTATATATACTATTCTACACTATAATTAGTAGTTTACTAATTATACGTACCTTTTAGTTATTATAGCGTAGTAGTGTAGAGCTGCGTTCTAACACAAACTAGTTAGCCTAAACTACTTAGAATCTAGCGTAATATAAGATTTCTAAACAAGCTATTTTGTATAGAATTATTACGCAAACCTAATAGTATAATTAGTTTATTTATTACTATTTACGTTATAGAGATATTAAGCTAAGAATATAAGTACTAAGCTTTATAGTTTCTTACGTAACTATAGCGCGCTTAGCTACTATAGCCTATCTATAGCTAGATTTTACTACCTAAACTTAAATTTAGAGTATCTATAGCTAAATATTTAAGCTTAAATTTAAAAATAAAAGATTTTACTATCTAAACTAGTGTTATAGAACTATAACTCTTCTTTTCTATTACTATAGAGTTAGCTACTTTTTAATAAATAAGAAAAGCTATTATCTATATAACACTATTAGATATAATAGATACTAAGAGTAGAAAGGTTCTAAAGCCTAGCTATACCTAATAACTAACTTAGTTCTACTTTAGTTTTACTTATAAGAAAGTATATATTATCTTTATAGTACTTTTCTAAAAAAACTATAATAATTAATTATATTCTATTAGATTATATTAATAATCTAATAAATACGTAGTAGCTAGACTTAATATTACTATAAGCTATCTACTCTACTTCTTAGCTACTATATAATAAGCTATTAAGCTTTAAAACTATCTTTATATCTTTCTATTACGAGCAGAAAGAGGCCTACTAATAAGTATGCATTTGCTTCTATATATAGAAGAAGAAAGATAAGAAAAGAAAGGTTCTTTTTACGCGTACAACTTGCCTCTTATAGGCCTTATACTTTACTACTTTAGTTAGCGCTAAGTTGTACGTTATATAACTAGAACTATCTACTTAATATAGCGTAGCCTCTTATAATACCTCTCTTCTAAGAATTATATATAACGCGTTATTATAAGAGAGTGTTTATAATATAATATTAGAGTTTATAGTAAATCTAACTTCTATACGTATATATTAATTATTATTTAACTGCTCTAATAGTAAATAAGGCCTTTTATATAGATCTAGCTATTATTATTTAACTACTTTTTATAGTAAGAGAGAGTTTTAGCGCCCTCTTCTAGGTATATAAAGCTAGCTTCTTTCTTTTAACTTATTTCTTTCTTATACTAACTTCTTTGCTTCTTATTAAGACCTCTTATATAATAACCTAATAATAGCTACTTCTACTTATAGTATCTAGACTACTAATAGTTCTAACTACTTTACTTTTACTACTAGTAGTTAGGCTAATAGCTTATACGCTAACGCTGCGACTAACCTCTAGAATATTACTTATTACCTACTTACTTATAACTATTCTAACGCTATAATTATAGTTATTAACGTATAAGATAGTATTAATATAAATAACTACTTTATCTAGTATATTCTTAATAAGAAAGTTACTAATAAGCTTTGTTATATGCTTATAATAGCCTCTATATGTTTCTTTTAACTTCTCTTTTACCTTACTAACTATCTAATAGGCTTTTATCTACTATATTACTAAGTTCTTCTTTTATCTTATTTAGAACTTACTATATAACGCCTATTAAAGTCTAGATAATAGTAAGTACTCCTCTATTATTACTTATAGCACTATCTATACTTACTAAATTCTTACTAGATGTAACTTATACGTTAAGGCTTTTATTATCTATACCTATAGTGTTCTTAACTTTGCTAGCTACTCTAATAACTGCGCCTATACTATACGTAGTGCTAAAGCCTTTACTACTTTTGCTAGTTATATCTCTATTTCTAGAGAGTAGAATAGTGCCTATTCTAACTACGTCTAGACTAAGTATAGTGCGCGCTATAGTCTTATTAGTTAAGAAGCGCCTAATAGCAGAGAAAGAGCTCTTTCTAGTCCTTATTCTTATATAAGTAGTTAGGCGATTTATGCTTTCTCTACTAAGAAGAAGTTTATTAATATAGATAACTAAGTTTTCGCTACTAGTAGTTCTATCTTCTCTAAAGAGAACTAGAAAGCAACTATATAGCTTATATATAAGTTAGCTAGAACTATAGAGTAGTAGTATTAGCTAGATTTTATTCTAGTTTTTATATAGCTTCTTAAAATCTAACCTATTTTATAAGATATTACTTAGTTTCTTAACGTATTCTCTTACTTATAATACTTTCTATCTACTATTTAAGATATTTCTTTTATTTATCTTTATCTCGTATAATAACTACTATAGAATTTAGATTATTAGTCTATTATAAGAGTAGAGAATTAGTAGTAGCTAATCTAATCTTATTAATATAGAATAACTTAGTTTTCTAAAGAATAGCTAACTCTACTTAGTAAGAGTCTTATACGCGTAACACTTAGTACTTTTTACTCTTTTAGTCTAGCTTCTTGCTAGCTCTTATAGTGCGTACGTTTTATAGATTAAGCTAAACCTAATCTTTAACTTTATAAGTAGAAGCAGGTTTTCTAAACTTATTTATCTACCTTTTCTATTCTTGCTATGCGTATAACATAGCTGCGATTACCTACTCTATAGTAGAAGTAATTATTCAGATAATATCTTTAGCCTTCTTATATATAGGCTTTTTAGCTATCTTACTACTATCTATACATTTCTATTCTCTCTATTAGAAGAAGAGCGTGTTATAGTAACTATGTTATAGAAAGAAGAAGAAGATACTAGTAGACGTATTTATATAAAAGTTAAGTATTAGCTTAAGAATTAGATATAGCGTAGCCTAGTTATCTTAGTTATTATTACAAAACACTTATATAACTACTTTAATATTACTATTTACTCTCTTAGTTATACTATTAGTCTATAGATAGTAGACTATAGATAGGTTTCTTCTTATATCTAATAACCTATAGATATCTCTCTATATAGCGCTTGCGAACTAAGAGCCTCTATTAGACGTAATAGAGAAAGAAAAGCTATAGTAATAGTATACTTCTTATACAAAGGCCTAGGCTACGTTCTAGCTCTCTATCTTCTATATAGGTATTAAGATTATAGCTTTGCTAAGGTAGTCTTTTACTACTATTAGGTTTAACTTTTCTTTTAAAAGAGGGAGCTCTATAATAAAGTCTACTATTAAGTACTACTACGTATAGCTTAGAACTAGTAGAGAGTAAAGGTAACTATATCTTCTATCTTTCTATAGAGTACTTTTTTTATAAAGCTTATAGTTCTATATAAAGCGTCTAATATTATTACTTATCTTTAGCTAGTACTATTCTCTTACTATAATTCTATATATCTCTTCTTAACCTAGATAGCCTGTTTATAAGAATAGATAGGCTATCTAGATTATGCCTGTACAAAGTAGTTCTAATTTAGATACCTAGATTCGTGTTCTTTATATAAGGTAGTTGTCTAAGTTAATTACGCAGTCTTCTAGAGACACAGCTATCTTTCTAGTTATAGATAGTAAGCGTTATCTCTTCTATACAAACTAGAGCACTTCTTAATAAAGGTTGTTCTTAGCTACTACTATAGCCTAGTAGTTCTATATTAACTTTTATTTATTTAGTAGCTAGAGTAGTATATCCGAGACTATTAGTGTAACTAGAGAGAGTAATGTAGTAACTTATACGCTATCTTATTAGTAAGCTAGAGTTAGTATTATAAACTCTTCGCTTACAATTCTATTATTATTCTTATTCTATAGTATATTTTAGTTCTATCTAGAAAGAGCGTTAGCCTATACGTTCTTCTTTTCTAGCCTATATCTAATCTTTATATTTCTAAACTTTAACAGCTTAACTAACTATCGTACGTAGCGCTCTATTATCTTTTACTTCTTAGTAAAGTATTTAAGGTTCT